TTTATAAAATAAATCCTTAATTTTAATGTTAATTTCTTATAATTAACAGGACCTCTTAGAACCGTTACTATGACTGTGTAAACTGCTCAGCTGCTCCTAGCACTGCTCATTTTGGAGTCTACAAATTTTTCTTTTATTAGTGAAACGTCTTAAGTGCTGCACTCAGGGCCATGTTTCCCCATTATTGTATTTTAATTGTAAAAGTTTAAAATGTCTCCAGGAACAGAGGAATAAAAATGGGGTTACAAGGAGAAAGTACATTACAGCGGAATCTACTGTGATGCCTAAAGTATCCATACAAGGCGAAAGGAGATATAACAGGTCTCCAATCACAGCCACAGCACTTAAAGGTGTTCAGCTCTCTGGCAATGCTTCTGATTTCCCTAAAACTACTTTTACACCTGCGGTTTCTTTGAAAACTGTAACTCTTCTAATGCAGGGATTAAAGGAAGGGGTTGCTGTATTTGACTCCAAATTAGATTAGCTTTCTAATAGAACTGCACAAGTAGAAAACAGAGATGTCAATGAAAAGAATTTTGAAAAATTGCAGAAGAAATTCAATGCATTGGATTGTGCACAACTTTACACAAAATCCCTTATTGATGCGTGAATGAAAGATTATTCCTTCAGATACAGGAAGACTGACATTTCTGAAAATGATATTAAACAATCAATGCTAGGATAGTCTTGAACTACCTGTGGGGGGGAGGAAATTTCTTATTGAATATCTGCTTTTTTTCTTATTTTATATTTTATTTTGACCCAGCTTTCTGGTAACTAAAGGTATTTGCGATTGCAAATAAAATCTCACTATCCTCTAAACTGCCAGATTTAAGTTTTCCTCTATTGTAATTCTAGTACCTCAGTTTCAGACAGAGAAAGAATTATGTAACAAGAATGGGAAGGAAAAAGGATTTTGATATAATGACCATAGGATCCATCTCTCCCCAGATCTTTCTATGACAACTCATGCTAGAAGATGGAAATGATTATTATAACATAACAGATCTTGTTATAAATAGGATGGTGTTAAATTATTCTCTTTATCCACTGAGGACAGGACAAGGAATAATGGGCTTAAATTACAGCAAAGGAGATTTAGGTTAAACATTAGGAAAAACTTCTTAACTGCAGTTAAGCACTGGAACAAATTACCTAGGGAGGTGGTGGATTCTGTATCATTGGAGTTTTTAAAGAACAGGTTAGACAAACACCTGTCAGGGATGGTCTACATAATACTTAGTCCTTCCTCTGTACAGTGGACTGGACTCAATGACCTACTGAGGTCCCCTCCAGTCCTACAATTCTATGATTCTTGCTTTCTGTTTTTCTGTATCTATTTATTACCCTGCAAACTTACACCTGTCTTAAAAAAATAAAAAACACATAGGCAAAAATCCTCAGCTGTAGCCAAAAAGTGGGCATTACAAATTGGGAGAGGGATGCACAAGTGGCTTTAAGCCACCGTGCTGCTTCCCAATCCAGCTTGCTAAATGCCAATCCAGTTTTCTGATGTAAATTAGAGCAGTTCTTAGGTGGCTCTAACTTCTGCTGGCTGCCAAAGGCCTCATGAGGCAGGTACAGCAGGCAGGAATCAGCAGGATGATATTGCCTACATCAAACTGCAAGTTGTGGAGTGGCAGAGACGTTGCTATGCCAGCTCTGTGTCATCGAGGATCTCTACATTTTGATGATCCTCCAATCACCAGCAACCCTGGCTTTAGGCCACTTTGGGTATGTCTTCACTACCCGCCATATCGGCGGGTAGCAATCGATTTATCCGGGATCGATATATTGCGTCTTGTTAAGACGCGATATATCGATCCCCGAACGCGCTCACCGTCGACTCCGGAACTCCACCAGAGCGAGCGGCGGTAGCGCAGTCGACGGGGGAGCTGCGGCCATCGATCCCGTGCCGTCTGGACCCCAGGTAATTCGATCCAAGATACTTCAACTTCAGCTACGCTATTCACGTATTCATTGTTCTGCTGTCTTTTTCTCTATCCAAGTGATGTCCACATTATCACTTGCATTGGAAGTTGTATTGGTGGATCCCTAAAGCATGTCCTAAATCTGTCCATTGTCATCTTCTTACCATTTTTGATTATTTAGATTGGTTTGCTCTACTTATGATTTCTGATGTTGCAAGAAACACTTTCCAATGGACTCTGAAGATATTCTGAAGGCATTTACTTTGAGATGAGTTGATCTTCTTGTCAATTTTTGTTGTAGGTTTCTATGACTCTGCTCCATAAAGGAGGACAGGCATACTGCCGGTGTTAAAAATTCATATTTTTTGTCAGTATCAATCATGTTACTTTTCCAAATCTTTTCAAGTTTATGAAAGTTGTTTGCTGCTTTTGATAGTTGTTGCATAATGTCACCATCACTGCACATCTCACTCCCTAGATAGATTAAATGACTTTTTTCTTCTAGTGTTTCTTCATCCACTCTAATGGTTGCGTTTGGGACATTGATAGCTATATATTTTGTCTTTGGGTTGATGAACAAACCAACTTTTTTCCTGCCAAAAGCTGTTTTTTTTCCCCTTCCATTAAACAATGTGTTGAACTAAGCAGGACAAGGTCATCAGCAAAAACGAGGTCATCCAATTGTACTTTATCAATTGTTTATAAAATTCCTCAGTTGCCTTTGGTGGTTACTTTCTTCAAGATACAGTTAATGACCAGTGCAAACAGTAGTGGGGACATAAGACACCCTTGCCTTACTCAAGTTGTCACTGCCAACCATTGGCCAATGTTGAAGGTCCACTCTCCATGTGTTTCTTGATACATTCCAGAATGATGTTGCACATGGTTTTCCCAGGCACTGAGAGTAACATGATTCCTCTCCAGTTCTTGTAGTTGGTAAGGTCACCCTTCTTTGGCAATTTTATTATGATGCTTCTCTTCCACTGGGTTGGGTTCTTTTCTTGGTTCCATATTCTATCCAAAACACAAGGAAAGTCTGTAGGGGGCTTTTTGTTTTTTGTTTAGTTATGCAAAAATAAGTACTCACACTGTTTTGGTGAATGAAGATGAAAGAAAAACGTTGCTGGTTTCTTCCCCAGAGATCATATTTCTTACTTGTTGCAAAAGTGCTTATTTAAGCATCAATCATCTTAGCCTGTGCTGTATAGAGAACTCTGTTTTTTTAGAGGATTTGTACTGTTATTTCTTCTACAATGTTTTTCTTTTTTACTATTAGATTTATTTCTCCTATAAGCAAAGACCAACTGACAACATTCTGTCAAAGATCTTCATAATTGTCACATAAATGTCATGTCACATATATATGATATTCAGATCACATAACACGACATATATGAGAATTATGTATTACACACAAAAACTATGTTAAAATAACTTTATTAAGATTCAAAAATTCACAAGTTAGGAAATGCCAGAATTCAAGTTGCTTGTGCAACCTTAATTCAGCCTCCTTGTGCACACAGAATCATAGAAATGGAAGGGACCTCGATAGATCATCTAGAGTCTAGACCAGTCCCCTGCACTGAGGCAGGACTAAGTATTATCTAGGCCATCACTGACAGGTGTTTGTCTAACCTGTTCTTAAAAACCTCCAGTGACAGAGATTCCATAACCACCGTAGGTACTTTGTTCCAGTGCTTAACTACCCTTGCAGTCAGGAAATTTTTTATAATGTTTAACCTAAATCTCCCTTGCTGCAATTTAAGTCTTCTTGTCCTCTCCTCAGTAGTTAAGGAGAACAATTCACGAGTCTTCTCTGTTTAACAACCTTTTATGTACTTGAAGACTGTTATCATATCCCACCTCAGTCATCTCTTCTCCAAACTAAACAAACCCAATTTTTTCAATCTTTCCTTGTACATCATGTTTTCTAAACCTTTAATCATTTTTGTTGCTCTCCTCTGGACTATCTCCAATTTGTCCACATCTTTTCTGAAGTGTGGTGCCCAGATCAGAATATATTACTCCAGTTGAGGCCTTATCCATGCTGAGTAGAGTGGAAGAATTACTTCTCATGTCTTGCTTACAACACTCCTGTTTATACATCACAGAATGACGTTTGCTTTTTTTGCAACAGTATTTTGTGATCCACTGTAACCCCCAGATCATTTTCTGCAGTACTCCTTTCTAGGCAGTCATTTCCAATTTTATATTTGTGAAATTGATTATTCCTTCCTAAGTGTAGTCCTTTGCATTTGTTCATATTGAATTTCATCCTATTTATTTGAGATCATTTCTCCAGTTTGTCAAAATAATTTTGAATTCTAATCCTGCCTTCCAAGGTGCTTGCAACCCCTCCCACATTGGTATTGTCCACAAACTTTGTAAGTGTACTCTCTATGCCATTATCCAAATCTTTTTTGAACAGAATTGGACTCAGGACAGATCCCTGTAGGACACCACTCAATATGCCCTTCCAGCTTGTGAACCATTGATGATTACTCTCTGAGAATGCTTTTCCAACCAGTTGTGCATCCACCCTATAGCAGGTTCATCTTGCCTATATTTCTGTAGTTTGTTTGTGAGAATGTCATGTGAGACAGTAACAAAAACCTTATTAAAGTCAAGATATATCACATCTACTGCTTCCCCCCATCCACAAGTTTTGTTAACTGTCAAAGGAGAATATTAGGTTGATTTGACAGATGTTCTTGACAAGCCTATATGGACTGTTACTTACCACCTTATTTTCTTCTAGGGGCTTGCAATGGATTGATTACTTGCTCCATTATCTTTCTGGGTATTGCAAATGAGCTGACTGGTCTGTAATTCCCAGGTTGTCCTTATTCCCCTTTTTATAGATAGGTAATATATTTGCCCTTTTTTGGTCCTCTGGGATCTCTCCTGTCCTCCACAAGTTCTCAAGGATAATCACAAATGGCTCAGAGGTCTCTTCAGCCAGTTCCTTAAGTATTCTAGAATGTATTTCATCAGGCCCTGCCGACTTGAAGACATCTAACTTGTCTAAGTAATTCTTAACTTGTTTTCCATTTTACCCTCAGCTCTTACCTCATTTACACTGACGTTCACTGTTAGTTGTCCAATCACTGCTAACTTTTTCTGTGAAAATGAAACAAAAAAGGCATTTAACACTTCAGCTATTGCTGCATTTTCTGTTTATTGTCTTTCCCTCCTCATTGAGTAATGGGCCTACCTTGTCCTTGGTTTTCCTCTTGCCTCTCATGTTTGTTAGGCTTTAGGTATCCAGCTAGTTTAATCTCATTTTGTGCCTTGGCCTTTTTAATTTTGTCATTACATGCTTGTGTTGTTTTTTTTATATTCATCCTTCGTAATTTGACTTCATTTCCACCTTTGGTATGATTCTTTTTTGAGTTCCAGATCCTTGAAGATCTCCTGGTTAAGTTAGGGTGATCTCTTACCATACTTCTTATCTTTCCTATGCACTGAGATAGGTTGCTTTTGTGCCCTTAATAATGTCTCTCTAAAAAACCTGCTAATTCTCCTGAACTCTTTTTGATATATGCACTATGATACAGATTATGATACAGGTTTTAATTACATAGTCACATATTAGTTTTTCCATATGACATCTGCCTCATTCAGTGCACAGGATAGACAATGATCAATTAATAAGCAGCTTTTCGATATTTTTTTTATCCTCATTGTACATTGTGTAGCTTGAGGCCTTATATATGGCACACTATTCAAATCCTGCTCTGAAAACAGAATTATTAATTTCCTCATGGGCTTTTTTATGGCACTCATCACTTTAGTATCTAAGTGCTTCACAAACATTAATTAATGTAAGACCCCCCTGTGCGGTGAGGGGGTAGTATATCCCCATTGTACGGATGGGGAGCGGAGGCAATTAAGGTAAAAGGTATCTAAAAGGGTGTCATAAGGAGGAGGGAGAAAACTTGTTCACCTTAGCCTCTAAGGATAGAACAAGAAGCAATGGGCTTAAACAGCAGCAAGGGAGTTTTAGGTTGGCCATTAGGAAAAAATTCCTAACTCTCAGGGTGGTTAAACACTGGAATATACTGCCTAGGGAGGTTGTGGAATCTCCATCTCTGGAGATATTTAAGAGTAGGTTAGATAAATGTCTATCAGGGATGGTCTAGACAGTATTTGGTCCTGCCATGAGGGCAGGGGACTGGACTAGATGACCTCTCGAGGTCCCTTCCAGGGCTAGAATCTATTAATCTATATATTCACTAATTTTGGGTGCCCAATTTGAGATGCCTAGGCACTTAACACAGAACACTTAGCATTATATGGCACTATATATGTTCAAAGGAAAGCTTCCATTGATAACTTTGAGTGGTCACCACTTCTGCAAATCCTCTCCCAGGTTCTCAAGTTTGGCACCTAAAAAAGGAAAAACACACAGTTAGGTACTACCTGTGAAAAGTTTGGTTTAAGTGACTTGCTTAACATCACCCAGGAACTGTGGCAGAAGCAGGGATTGAATTCAGTTCTCCAGAGTGGCATTCAATTTCCTTAACGATGAGATCCCTCCTTTCTCTTCCTACAATTCCCTGCCTCGTTCACTACATACTTTCCAACTCCTGCTACAAATCAAGCAGGGGTCCTACAGAAAACAGCCTTCTTCACTGCACAGCCCTGCTCCATCCCCGGAGCAGGTGCATCCTGTGCACTGAATGAGGCAGGGGTTGTGGGGAAAAAATAGTATGTTATGTAATTATAGACTGTATCAAATGCATACACACAAGGGGAGCAAACTGAGGTTGCACAAGCAAACTTCAGTTCCAGTCTCACCGGACTCCTTGTTTGAGTTACTCCTTTTCCTTCTATCTGTTCTGGCTTTTGTCTCCTGTGCATTTGAATCAGATTACTTCTTCCTCTACAATGCCTTGGGTGCGAGCAGGAGGGGGTTGTTGAAAACACAGGGGAGACAGCTCCCTGCTCCTAGTTCCAGTGTCTGGCTCAACTCCAGCCTGGAGTAGCTGGAAACAGTCATGACAAAGAAAGCTCTCCTGAGCCACTATATTGCCTTAGGCTGGACCATGCTCAGTCTCTCTGTGGCTTGGCCACATGATTGGTCTGGTCAGCAGCACTAGGAGCTGTGAGGGCATGGAGCATGCTCCGTGAGGATAGAATCTTAGGAGACTGTAGCTGTTAAAATCGAATAAGTCTCTACTGAGCATGTGCAAACTGCAATTTTACAAGGTTTATAATATGGGCAAATGTGGGTGGATTTTCACAGAGATGGTAAAAGGCACATCCTAGACACAAAGGCTATCCCTGCCCCCACCAGATTTCAGGTCCCTGCACCAAAGAAAAGGTCTCAAGATATATTTAATATGGGCGAAACAGTGTATTTTTCCCTAACTTTGGTCTTGGATGTGGCTGAACTGTATTGGCTGAACAAAGCAATAGAAATAAAGCAGACACTCAGCATGGAGAATTGCACTTCAAATGGTTACAGTTTGACAAAATTATAAACTGAAAACAGGGTCTTATAATGGGAACCTTTATTATAGGCGATGTTGCCAGCCCAGTGTGTAACTATATACATCAAATTATTGATGAAGTTACCAATCACTAACTAATAGGCAGTTTTAGGTCTAATAAATTCAACAGAACTCTTCCTAGCAGATTATTTTTGAAAGGGGAAAGTGGACTCTTTTGTTAAATATACTACAGTATTCTGCAGCAATGATGCTGCAGAATTATAATGGTGCGCTGCAGCTTACAACAGAGTTACTGTAGTGGTTTTTGACTGTTCCTGTAGAACACTACATCATCTTTGAAAGGTAAGGTACATTTTATAGCCTAGTAAATCTAATACAGTTAGTGAAACTTTTTAGTTTAAAACTATCAGCTCCATATTTTAATAGCAGTTTTTCAAAAAATACCTTAATTTGAATGCTCATCCTTCCCTTTTGGAATTGTAAAGCAGCTCTAAACTATTTGACAGGATCTATGAGCAATTACAAACAAGATGAAATAATGAGGGAGCAGCCACTGTATATGAAAAGCCTAACCAAACTGCAGTGTATATTTTGAAGAAAGGTCTCCATTAGAGGGGAAAAATCAGCATAAACTGCCTTAAACAACCAGACAGTTTAGGAAGGTTGGGCACCTCCTCCCCCCACTTCCTCCCCTCCACCCAAGATCCCTCACTGCATAGAAATAACTGTTCTTCCCACAGAGTAGGTGTCTAGTTCAAGCAGCCAGCGGTGGGTGTGGCCAGCTAGATACTGGATCAAGCTCCAGCTACTGCCACCACCACCACAGAAAATAGAAAGGCAGAGCAAAAGCACTAGCAAGCAACAAACCCTTCGAGAAATCAGTAACCGATTAAAGTGCATTTTTTGTGCATGACAAGGTCACACTGAGAACAAGAATGGAGAGCTGTCTGCTCTCCTTTCTTGGAAAACTGTGCAAAGTTTTTTTGTGTTTTTAACCCTTTATATTTTTGCGGCTGGGGGGCGGAGGATGTGGGTGTGTGGGAGAAACAGCCCTAAGGAACCACGCCGAATAGCTCCTAGGACAGCATCTGAATAGAGTGTTTTCTTTTTAACCCCTTCCCCCTGTTGCGACTGCTAAAAAAAAACAAATCCAGCATTTAACGGCCCCTCCCCCGCAGCCTTCTCCAGAAGTGATCAAAATAATAACAAGGGGGAAAATCCCGTTTCCTAAAGCGGTGGTATTTCAAATACCCTCATCGTCACCCTCCCAGCTGCCCAACGAAGTTTGTTTGTCTAGAGGAATAGCCTTCGATTGCATTTTTATCCTGATCTTACCGCCCTCCCCCACCCCCACCCAGCTGGCACTTTCAGGCACTTCTGGGCAATGCAAGCCCCTCTTTGCCCTTCACGAGGGTCTCCTGCAGGATTTGTTGAGTCCCTCTTTCCGCCTTGCCCAGAATCTGTTATTTGCAAGAAACGTCTTTTTGACGCAGGAGACATGGCAAATTTTAAGTACGTCATTAATATGGCGCCAAAAGATTTTTTTTTAAGTATAAGCTTATTTTTTTAAGGTTGCAGCAGCAGCCCAGCGTACGCCTGTGCCCATAGCTCGGAGAAGAGAGGGGGAGTGAAGCAGAGGGGGGAGAGGAGGTAAAGAAGTGTGTGCGTTCCACGGCGGCTGCTGAGGGTGTTGTGGTGTGTGTATGTGTGTGTACGCGGCTGGGGATCATTGCGAAAGCGACCTGATCAGACTTGTACAGTGTGTGTGAGCAACCCGACCCCGCTGCTTGCCTCTACCCAGAGCAAAAGAGAGATGGGGACCCAACGCATCGGGGGGAGGTGAACAGCAAGGGGGGCGGGGGGGGAAACAAGACAACACATGCACAAACACAACCAGAGATGGGACCCATGTCTGCTGCACCTGGACCTGCTGCTGCCCAGGAAGAAACAACAAACAAGAAAAAAAGAAATTGAAGCAAGATTTGGGGGGAAGTGAAAATCATTCTTGATCATACTAATAATTTGAAAAGTCACTTCTCCGGTCCTCCCACCTGCCCCCCTCCCCAAATAAAAAGGTCAACAGAAGAATTGGTCGTTGTTGCAAAGAGATCCTAAGGAAGTCTGGGTTAAAAAAGAAACAGAAACACGCATATAGGGCTGGATCGTGCACAGAGCGGCCATCTCGGCTGGAAGCAATTCTTTTGGGTTCGCATCCATGGAGTTACTTTGTATCCACTCCTAAGAGGAGGGTGTCATCTTCGGATCCAGCAGGGGGGTTATCCCCCCCCTCTTCGCAATGATACCAGATTGATCGTGCAAAGGGGCTTTCCTGATCGTTTCAATCGCTGGACCATCCCCCCGCCCCCTCTCCACACTCCTCTTTTGTAACCTGAGGGACAGTCTCAACTCTTTGAGGACACTCTCCCGGCAAAGGTAAAGGATGAAGGAGGATTGCATTTTGGATTGCTTTAATTTGCAGCTGATCTTTATTTTGCATCTCTCTGGCATTTTTTTCTCTTTCCATTTCGCTGGGCTGACTGCTAGGAAGGAAGGGGGGAAATGTGCAGCATTTTACTCAGATCGATTGCGCATGTTGGTCACTCATGTTTTAAAGAGTAAAAGGGAAGCAGCAGGAATGTAAACAAGAACTTTTAAAGGTTCGGCGCAGACGGTTTTTTTATTTTCCAAATTAATGACTGCGGCAGAGCTCACCCCAAACCGCCTCTGGGTTGGGGAGGGGGAAACAGCACCGTTTATTTTTGCAACGGGCAAAGCAGCCAGGCATCAGGGTCCAATCCGGATGGTTTGGGTCGGGAGGGGTGTGTGAAATGTGCCACAGGAGGCAGCGAGGGCAGCCCAGCAAGGGAGAGACACGAGTTTCATTTTGTTGATACGCAGCACGTTTTGGAGCCTTGCAATTCTTGGAGCTGGTGCACATGATCCGCTCCTCTCACGTGCTGGGGCTGCCAGGTCCCTGCCAAATCGTGCACGGACCCAAACAATGCACCGGGGAGCGGGGCGGCGGGCAGCGTTCGCCCCGCTGGCGGGGGTGGCGGAGCCCGGGGCTGGCCTCCCTGGGCGCTCCGGGTTTGCAGCCCTGCTGTAGCGGGTGGGGGAGGGCCAGCGAGCGAGAGACGCACGCTGCTGGGGGCACGGCGGGGTTTGGGAATGGAAATGTACAGGCAGCGGCCGCGGCAGTCCGGCTGCACGTTGGGGACAGGACTGTAGGGGGGGCATGGCTGTTGTTTACCTTCTCAAACTCTCACGGCTCCCGGCGGACTCCTCTGGGGGCGTCTCATCCTCTCCTCCATCTCTGCCTGCCCACCCCCGAGCCAGTCTCCGCTCCCTCGCTCATCCCTCCTTCCTTCCTGCTCCCGTGCATTCCCTCACACCCCTCCGCTCTGCTCGCTCCTGCGGTCTGTCCTTCCTCTCGCTTTCATCCCTGGTTTTCTCATCCCCTCCATTCCATTCCTGTCTCCTCAGGGAGACTCCTCCGTCCAGCCCCTCCGCTCCGTGCAATGCATTCCATCCTCCCCTGGCTGCCT